CATAACTACAATATCTTTTGGAGATGTACTTATTTTTGATATTAAATATTAGAATTCATATACCAAAAAGTTAGAATATATTAATAGATCATCCATACCCCTAAAGACTCCTTCCTTACTAGACTTAATCAGATATTTTTAACCATATGTTTTTTATAGTTCCCATTAGAAAAAAAGATCAAACTAATATAAAAGACCAACAAGTATTTTTTGATGAAGTTTGCGAATTAGTGTAATTCATTGTCCTATACATGTACCTTTGTTTTTTAATTGCTTTTCTCTAGGGCCACCTTCAGCTCCTAGGAATGTGGTTTTTAACATCAATGAAACAGCCCTTATATTGGAATGGAGCCCACCAAGTGACACAGGAGGGAGAAAAGATCTCACATACAGTGTAATCTGTAAGAAATGTGGCTTAGACACCAGCCAGTGTGAGGACTGTGGTGGAGGACTCCGCTTCATCCCAAGACATACTGGCCTGATCAACAATTCCGTGATAGTGCTTGACTTTGTGTCTCACGTGAATTACACCTTTGAAATAGAAGCCATGAATGGAGTTTCTGAGTTGAGTTTTTCTCCCAAGCCATTCACAGCTATCACAGTGACCACGGATCAAGATGGTAAGTTTCACTGCTATTCTGTCAACATAGCCTCATAATTCCTTTTGATACATAATATTCGCAATGGACCTATATTGACCAGAAGTGCAATGCAATCGTATGCCATACACTAAAGAGATAATTTTCTGGTGGTAGTTCTTGTTCTTTCCCTAGATGCAGAAAGATATTTTTGATATTACTTTTTAGCAGTATGGTTAATAAGATGAATTGCTTCCTTCTAACATGTATGTATTTGTTCTTGACATAATCATATACCAATATATCTTAATAAGTAAATCCATACTACTTACAAATGGAAATCAGAAACCAGTAACATTTTGCCTAATGAATTGAATTTCAATTGTTCCACTTATGCTCCCATCCTTTTCCATGGCAAGTAAAGCCAATAGTAAGAATTTATTTCAATTATAATTCATGTCTATCTTGTACAAGCATTCTAGCCACCATATTTAACCATGATACACTCCAAAAAGAAATAGTCAAAAAAATCTAGGAATGTGTTCAAATGCTATTGTCTATGTGTAGTTTGTGAAAAGTAGTTAAACTGCCTATAAAAATCTGATGATTTCGTTTAAATGTTCTCTTTATAACACTAAAGATTTTTATTACAATATAGTCAGGCACGAACACGCCTATGATTTTTACAAGTATATTCTCTCTTTAATTCCCCCATAATATAATTATACTGCAGAGCATGAAATGGGAAAAGCTTCAGAGATTTAAAAAACTCCTTTAGAGGCATTCATAAATTATATGGGTACACAAGTGATTGCCTTATAGCAGGAAGTATTGTAAATGAACACTTATATATGAGGCAAATTTATAGAGATAAAACTATTTTTATATATTGCATTAGTTTGCTAGGGCAGCCATAACAAATACAACAGACCATGTGGCTTAAGCAACAGACATTTATTTTCTCATAGTTCTACCAGCTAAAAATGCAAGATCAAATTGTTGACAGGGTTTATTTAATTCTGAGACCTGTCTCCTTGGCTTGGAGATGTGCATTTTATCCCATGTCATCACATGATCTTTCCCTTTGTGCCTCATCTCCTAATCTCTTCTTCTTATAAGAATGTTTATCATATTGGATTAAGGGCCCACTCATATGACCTCATTTTACCTTAATTATTCTTTAAAGACCTATCTGAATACAGTCACATTCTGAAGTACTGAGGGTTATGACTTCAATATATAAATTTGCCAGAACACAATTCAGCCCATAACATACCCTAAAACAGCATATGGTGATATTTAAAATACAATATGTTGAATGTGCTGGAATACTACTCAGCAATAAAAAGGATCAAACCGTTGAAACACACAACTTAAATGGATCTCAAAGGTGCTATACTGAGTGAAAAAAATCGATCTCAAAAGGTTGCATGCAATATAATTCCACTCATGTAATATTCTTGATTTAACGTAATTTTCAATATGGAGAAATGATTAGCGGTCACCAGTGGTAAGGGATTGGGGGAAGTACAAGTTGGCTACGAAGGAGTAAAAGGAGAAATCGTTGTAGTGGTGTTAGCATATATTTTATTGTGGTGGTAGTTATAGGGAGCTATGTTATAAATTGGATAGAGCTTTGTGCATGTGCGCACCCATACACATATATATGCAAGCACTGTGGATTGGACCAAGGTCAATTTCCTGGTTTTCTTGTTGAAGTATAGTTATACAAATAGTTGACATTGTAGGAGGCTGGGTAAAGGATGTACAGAACCTCCTTGTATATTTTTTTTTGAAAATTTCCATGAACCTATAATTATTTCAAAATGGAAATTTAAAAAACATTAAGCCTATGAAATGTGCAGGAAGAAAACTTTAATATTCTAAAATATATATGAAATGGATATATTTTATTCAAAATGTTATACATAAATTTACTTTGCTAATAATCTTCAGAAATGCCTCTAATAAATAAAGAAAAGCCACATAGTATTGTATAATTACAATCTTTGTATTGACTATGTGATTTTCCCCTTCACTCAGCAAATAGCTCCACACCATAGAATTTGTTTTATGTTTGTTTAAAATGGAATTCCCATTTCCTCTTTTTTCTTTCCCTATTTCCTTTAGTATCAACAAAATCTTGTCAAATGTATCTTCAACATAAAGCAGATTAGGGACTCTGTTCCTCTCTGCTTCAGCAGATTATTTCTAAGTCTTTTATTGCTACCACCGGATCAAAAAATACAACCCAGTACAACTATTATTAATTATAGGACAAAAGTAACTTAATTTGGGGAAAAATATATCACCTTAAATAAAATATATATAAATGTTTACATAATTTCATATATGCAGCAGTCTTTCATTTTATAATTATAAAGATAGTACATTTAGTCTGTCTACTTATCAGAAAGACAGAATATAAGTTATTTTTACTTTTAAAATGAGGTTAATACATTAAAAGCATTTTTCTATATGGGGAATAAAAGATATATTAAATGCAAAAGAAGATATAATATCCATATATTGATACTATACATTTGGAAGTATAGTATCAGTAAGCAATCCTCTCCAATAAATTTAACTTTGTTGAATATTAAGAAATTGTAAATTTAATTTGACTTTGTTTTAGATATAAATAATAACAAAGAACCAAAATATATTTGGAAGTACATAAAGGTCCTAAACTATTATGACATACATACTTAATAAAATATTATGATCAACCTTACATATAACCAATGACTTTCATGTCATAATTTTGAGAGATACTGAAACGGCCCTCTCTCCTTGTGCATGAAATTCTAAAGTTAGAGAATCACATTTGTGAAAATGCAATTATTCCAGGCAAGGGTAACATTATAAATAATTCAATCTGTGGATGTATCAGTTATTTTTTCATATCTGAAGGAGTCAGAATCTGGTGTTGAATTGAAAAGGAATTTATGGAAACTGGATATTCCAGAACCAGATTTCAAGTAACACCATTTTGTGCCGGCTTTAAATAAGATAATTTCATTGCAACAAAATAGAGGAAGGGATTTCCCATCACTCCAGTTGAAGTATCTTTGGGGATTCTTTTTCAAGTGACTTAGGAGGAATATTTCAAAGTTATCTGATAACACAATTTCATTGGATTAAGTGATCCCGTTAAAATGGTTTGTCTTCTTATCTATAGGTTATGTATCATTGTTTATATACTAAAATGGAAGAGTGATGTGTTATTTATAAACTTTCAATTTATTCAACATATATTTTAGTGTATTCCTGGGGTACCATAGTGAGTGAGCTCTTATGAACCTTAAAGTCTGGTGGGGAGGCAGAAAATAAACAACTAATTTCACAAATATGTAATTGGTACTGTTGTCAGACTTTCCAAGGAGAAGCCAAGGATGCTCTGACAACATATATTCTCCAAATCTAGAAGATAAGGGGGTTTCTTCCTGAGGAAGCAACATTTAAATTTTGTTCTGAGGGATGAGTAGAATGTGATTTGGCAAAATGAGGCTGGGATAAAGGAAAGAATTTTGAGCAGAAGGAAGGAAGCAAAGGTTGAGCAATTGAGGGATTAGGGGCTGATGGATATGTAAGATGGTATATGGCAGAAGTACAGCAGGATTTGGGAAAGAAACTGAAAAGTTCATCTAAATTTTGGAAAAATGAGGGGTGTCTGCAAACAGCTGAAACAAATTGGGGAAATCAGCCACTTGTCAGAAGATTCTGGTACCTTACCAGGAACACAAATAGGGAAAAGAAAGTCAGCAGAATAATAACTTTGCTCATGAGTTCATAGTTATGAGTATGGAAAAATTATTAGAGACCAAAAATATAAACAGTTGTATTAAGTTTTTACTATTCTATGTACGCATAGTGTGGAACATGAAGATAGGAAGTTTTGCATTGGTTTAGCTTTTTTTTCATGTAGTCAACTATATATATTTTTTTCACATATTTAAGAAATATTGGCCGGGCACAGTGGCTCACACCTGTCATCCTAGCCATCTGGGAGGCCAAGGTAGGAGCATAGTTTGAGCTCAGGAGTTCAAGACCAGCCTGAGCAAGAGTGAAACCCCATCTCTACTAAAAATAGAAAAATTAGCCAGGCATGGTGGTACATGCCTGTAGTCCCAGCTCCTCGGGAGGCTGAGGCAGAAGGATCGCTTCAGCCCAGGAGTTTAAGGTTGCTGTGAGCTAGGCTGATGCCATGGCACTCACCTGGGTAACAGAGGGAGATTCTGGCTTAAAAACAAAGCAAAACAAACCAACAAAAAAGAAAGGGTAAGGAAACCACATTAAACAACCCTGACTTAATTGTTTGCTCCTTGTTTACAAATAACAAATGTAAAAAAATTTTCCCAAATCACTTAGAACCACTTAGATGTAGTTAGGGAGAAACATTCCTTGATTATTCTGATCCTAGTTGATAAATAAGATTGTAGAGTTAAGACTATGACTCTCATAATTAGGAATCTTTGCAATAAATCTTAATTAACTGACTTTTATAATTCCTAAGAGCTGTATTTGCAACCTTCTGTTTTCATAGTTTATTTAAATGGTATTCAAAGGTGTTTCATTTAGAGAGCAAACAAGAAAGCAACACTTAGAAAATATTTGATTTTAATCTTCAGTGCATTATAGGAAAACTAAGGTGCATAGTTCAGTAAAAAGTAATTATTTAGGTCTTAGACAGGAAAGGAAAATGTTAATCATGGATAGTCAACCTGAAACAAATTGTGTTTGTAGATATCCTGACATGCCTAAAAACCTTTAGGGACCATGTTCAAAGTGAAAGACATACTAAATTACAAACCAATTCTGCTGATATTTGCTAAAGGGTCTTTAAAGCAATTGTTGTCAGAAGTGAGCTGTCCGATTCATTGGCTTCTTAAAATATAGATTTAACACCCCAATCTCTGCCCTTCAGTGACTATTCTGTATAGATCTGCCTTAGGCTCACATTTTGATTGCAGATTTAAAGTATTTGCTCGGGCAGCAATAATTAATTAAAGCAACATTGAAAATATATTTAAATCAACAAA